ACGTCGACCGCAAGTCAGCGTCCAACGGACTATCGGTGACAGGACTGGGGATCGGTCCTGCCAATTCATAAGGGATTCTTAAAAAAAAAACAGTACATGTGTTTCCAATGCGTATCCACTAAAACTCGTACACCAAACATAACTACTAAACCTAAAAGAGTAATAACCAACGCATTGTGGGAATGCAACACATAATCTGTGTGACAACATGGGGGAATACCAGTGGCATCCATGGAACGGTGGGCTAGGTCCTGTACAACCACTGAGCCCACGCACTATTTATGCACATCGCAACAACGAGATGACTCTTCCATTCCCAGTCCTCCGACAGTGTTAACATCCCACATTCCTATAAAGGTTTTGACGTATTTTGGGAAGGTTCCAACCCATTAATAATTGGTGATTCAAGGATCCTAAGATAACAAAAACTGAGTTGCGCCAAGGAAAAAATTTATAGCACTGCGATTTGGTTGTGCATGTATGACTTCTTGTTAGAAACTCCGTCACTAACCGCTGAGTTAAAAGGGCTTGTTAAGTAGCGGGTCCCAACACTTGTGTGGATCCGATCCCATTGCATGATAGGCTCCGGAGTTCAACCATTTTCAAAGAACGAATGGACAGGCAACGAATTCTAAAACTGTGCATGCGTTTTGAAGTGGAAAGACCACTCCGCCAGGTCACGTCTATACTGCCTCCTCCACATTCTCGGGCTTCCAACAAGGTCACAGGACTGCAGGCACTGGAACCTTTCCTCCACCAGAGTATGCATCACTCGCATAGCGAACACTCCACAATCATTCTCGTCCTGCTGCAACGGCACCTGCAGTGACGGGTAAAAGACAGCCAGTCAACGCAAATGCAGGTCTGAGAGAGGTGCAGTGTTGGGGAGAGTGCAGAGGAGAGAGACATGCGGAGCTGAGGTAAAGACAAAGCTCAGTGAAATGCAGAGCCTAGCAAGAAAAGCAGAGTGCCGTATGCAGCGCTCGGCGAAATGCAGTCTGAAGGACATGCACAGCCGAGGTAAGTGCATAGACAAGGCAAGTGCATAGCTGAGGTAAGTGCATAGCTGAGGTAAATGCATAGCTGAGGTAAGTGCATAGATGTGGTAAATGCACAGCTGAGGTAATTGCATAGCTGAGGTAAATGCATAGCTGGAAGAGTGCATAGCTGAGGTAAATGCATAGCTGAGGTAAGTGCATAGCTGAGGTAAGTGCATAGCTGAGGTAAATGCATAGCTGAGGTAAGTGCATAGCTGAGGTAAGTGCATAGCTGTGGTAAGTGCATAGATGAGGTAAGTGCATAGCTGAGGTAAATGCATACATGAGGTAAATGCATAGCTGAGGTAAATGCATAGCTGAGGTAAATGCATAGCCGAGGTAAATGCATAGCTGAGGTAAATGCATAGCTGGGGTGAGTGCATAGCTGCGGTAAGTGCATAGATGAGGTAAGTGCATAGATGAGGTTAGTGCATAGCTGAGGTAAATGCATAGATGAGGTTAGTGCATAGCTGAGGTACATGCATATCTGACGTAAGTGCCTAGCTGAGGTAAATGCATAGATGAGGTAAGTGCATAGGTGACGTAAATGCATAGCTGAGGTAAGTGCATAGCTGTGGTAAGTGCATAGATGTGGTAAATGCACAGCTGAGGTAATTGCATAGCTGAGGTAAATGCATAGCTGAGGTGAGTGCATAGCTGAGGTAAATGCATAGCTGAGGTAGATGCATAGATGAGGTAAGTGCATAGCTGAGGTAAGTGTATAGATGTGGTAAATGCACAGCTGAGGTAATTGCATAGCTGAGGTAAGTGCATAGATGAGGTGAGTGCATAGCTGCAGTAAGTGGATAGATGAGGTAAGTGCATAGCTGAGGTGAGTGCATAGGTGACGTAAATGCATAGCTGAGGTAAGTGCATAACTGAGCTAAATGCATAGCTGAGGTAAGTGCATAGCTGAGGTAAGTGCATAGCTGAGGTAAGTGTATAGATGTGGTAAATGCACAGCTGAGGTAATTCCATAGCTGAGGTAATTGCATAGCTGAGGTAAGTGCATAGATGAGGTGAGTGCATAGCTGCAGTAAGTGGATAGATGAGGTAAGTGCATAGCTGAGGTGAGTGCATAGGTGACGTAAATGCATAGCTGAGGTAAGTGCATAACTGAGCTAAATGCATAGCTGAGGTAAGTGCATAGCTGAGGTAAGTGCATAGCTGAGGTAAGTGTATAGATGTGGTAAATGCACAGCTGAGGTAATTGCATAGCTGAGGTAATTGCATAGCTGAGGTGAGTGCATAGCTGAGGTAAATGCATAGCTGAGGTGAGTGCATAGCTGCGGTAAGTGCATAGATGAGGTAAGTGCATAGCTGAGGTAAATGCATAGCTGAGGTAAATGCATACATGAGGTAAGTGCATAGCTGAGGTACATGCATATATGAGGTAAGTGCATAGGTGAGGTACATGCATATCTGACATAAGTGCCTAGCTGAGGTAAATGCATATATGAGGTAAGTGCATAGGTGACGTAAGTGCATAGCTGAGGTAAATGCATTGCTGAGGTAACTGCCCAGCTGAGGTAAGTGCATAGCTGCTGTAAGTGCATAGATGAGGTAAGTGCATAGCTGAGGTAAATGCATACATGAGGTAAATGCATAGCTGAGGTAAATGCATAGCTGAGGTAAATGCATAGCCGAGGTAAATGCATAGCTGAGGTAAATGCATAGCTGGGGTGAGTGCATAGCTGCGGTAAGTGCATAGATGAGGTAAGTGCATAGCTGAGGTAAGTGCATAGATGAGGTAAGTGCATAGCTGAGGTACATGCATATCTGACGTAAGTGCCTAGCTGAGGTAGATGCATAGATGAGGTAAGTGCATAGGTGACGTAAATGCTTAGCTGAGGTAAGTGCATAGCTGAGGTACATGCATATCTGAGGTAAGTGCCTAGCTGAGGTAAATGCATAGCTGCGGTAAGTGCATAGATGAGGTAAGTGCATAGCTGAGGTAAGTGCATAGATGAGGTAAGTGCGTAGCTGTGGTAAGTGCATAGATGAGGTAAGTGCACACATGAGGAGAATGCATAGCTGAAGGTAATGCGGAGACGGGGGGAATGCGGGACTGGGTGCCGAGATACGGGATAACCTGGAGACTGGGGGACACATTCGACAATGCGACGGCCAAGGCCAATGCCTAAAAAAGCACCTGTATAGTCTTGCATGGAATGCTTGCCGCCCAGGTGTCTGCATCTGTCTCCAAAATCCATGAGCTTTCGCGAAGAACCTGGTTCCTCAAATAACTGCACAGGGTGATGGTAATCCGTGACTACCATACTGACGTCTGCCCAGGAGAACAAAGAAGCGCATGGCCTTTGCACATGACTCACGTTCGCAAGGGCAGGTCAATGTCGGTGTGTAATCCGTAGGAATCCGCATGCCATATCGTGCAACAGTAAGGTACCTTCTCCCCTGGGGATTTGATGTTTTCGATTACCGCCAAGCTCCAATGACCACTGTGAGGGCGGGTCGCGATATGTAAGCTAGATGTGGTGTAGGAGTGAAATCAAGGGCAATACCATGAGTAGTATGAATCCGTGAGAAACAACAATGCATCTCACTGTTTGTTGATGGGCACGACCACGTGGTTGTAGTCTAGGACGTTCTTTCCGTAGGAGTACGGGTTCGTAGACTTCCCGCATGGTCTATCCGCGAACTGCCAGAAATAGGTTGACGTGTAAAGCCAAGACGTATCGCACCTCCCAAGCTCATACTGCAACATCCTGCCGGCGACATACAAACACACACGTCAGAGTCCAGACAACACGCAGGTAATCCCAGGTCATGTTGCATATTTGGTTCTGAAATACTCACAAACCGAGCCACTCTATCACGACGCCGCTTAACCAATTCGAGCGCCTAAGCGTCTTGTAATGGCTTTCGCCGATTTCCAGCCATCCGCCGCCAAAAGGGAAGGGCATGCTAAGAGGGTGGAACTTGTGCATCGTCATAGGTAGTACTAAGCCTGCTGTATTTTTCTACAAACTCGGTAATCTGTATTTTGCGATGGAATCTAGAAAGCTGGATTCTGTCCAGGTTTCGATAGCGTGGGCTTCCTTCAGCACACTGAGCTTGTTGAAGTGGCTGGCTCATGGCAGACTCCTGCCCTATATTTGTTTGGGCACAAGCTGCGTGCTGTGTTCTGGGTCACAGGGGGTTTATGTCGTGACGAGTCTGGTACTGTATGCTTACGAAGTGTAGTGTTTCCTGCAGTTTGCTAGCTGTTGCGATTAGTTTCCGACTTGCCCAGCGTGTCCGGAATGTTTTAGGCTTCGTTCATTGGATAGCTCAAAGCTCCTGGTGATATAGGGCACACTGTTTGTGCGACGCCTCAGTTCGCAATCTGTTATTGCGACACCCAAAGGTGTCGCGGAGTTGTTGGTTACTGGTGGCTAACGTTCGAAGGTGGTTCCTATTGGTGGGGATTTTTAGGTTTGGCATGTGGGAGACGCGTTGATGTGCGCCAACTCTTGCTGGCATAACAGGTACGCGAAGCTGCCGAGCTTCGGTCCCCCCGCAAGATGACACAAACTCTCACAACCAAACCGTTTGCCGAGCCTGTCGCCAAAAAAATCCAAACCAGTGCCGTGACGCTCAACGGTTCAGATACAACATGCTCAACATCAACGAGTAACATTGGCGCCAAACAGTAAATTGAGTGATGGGAGGGATTCTGCACCGCGAGCACAAGCGTGTTCCACCGTGCTGTAATTGGCGAATAATTTTGTAAGAAACGCGGTGCCGTGTAAGAATGTCGTGTGTCGCACTGCGGCCCCACAACATCCCGTTACCACATGCCCGTGCGACTGCGAAGATAAGTTCGCAAATAACAGCGCTGGTGCGAGTGGTGCACCACAGTGGCACATCCCCCTTCCCCTACCTCTTCGCTGTGTCGCACGTTCACATTGTCCCTCATGTCCGCTCAACCGTGTGAGTTTTGTAAGAAGGCATTTTTCTGCTACCAAACCCTAAGAAGCCACCAGGCAAATGACGACAAGTGTAAGCTGAAGCAGAAACGCAAAGCCGAGGAGGATAAGCGAAACGCAAAGCTCAGGCGAACCGACTGTGATCCGCACAGTTTTCCCGGTTTGCTGGCATCCAGGCTCCCTCGCCCGGATCTTAGGATACCATTGACTGACGCTGCGTACGGGCTGCATCCACGTCCTGACGTTGTTGTGCCAGTCCCAAAACCTACACGCCCAGAATCCGTTTTGGTGGTTACAGAACCGGAAGAAGAGGTTTTCGACCTTAGAGCCGAGTTATGCATAGTGTCCAGGACTCACGGCTTTACCAATGCTGCGATTTCCTCATTGATACAGATCTTCAGGCATCCTGCACTGCAGCAAGGTCAATTAGAGGGATGGAACAGTTACAGGGACCTCGAGAAATTCGAACAGGACTGCGAGGTGGGAGAGGAGAACGAATGGCATGTGGCGGAGATCGAGATCGATCACGAAGTTGGCTTCCTGACCTTCAAGCACCGAAGCATCGTCAAGGTATGTCGTTCTTGCCCACCGCTGACCTCCGCCCTAATGCTCGGCTGCACTGACGCCATTTGCTCCTCATGGCCGCAGGTTCTGCTGGCCATGTTCAAGAAGATGTCGGCCGTCAGTGGTTTCGCGATTGAACCCGAGGAGTGGGTGGTCGATGGCGAACGCCGATACAGCACCCCGCAGAACACAGATTGGATGCTCATGGCATGGGTAAGAGCCGTAGCAATCCCTGCAACCTTTCCCGCTACTAAGTCAAGCTCGATGCTCATTGTTGTGTACCTATGTTGTGACACCCCCATTGGCAGGAGCGTGTGAAGAAGCTGGGCATAGTACTGGCGATCATTCTGTTCTCCGATCAAACCAACTTGTCGTACAACGGTCGCCAGTCAGCACATCCCTTTGTGATGTCCATGGGGAACATCCCGGAGTGGGCAAGGTGGCTCGAGGGTGGCACGGAGCTGGTTGGCCTCCTGCCGAACATCCCTCCAGATCTGAAGCCGGAAGAGAAGACACGCGCCTTCCAGCAAGCTGCAGACATTTTCATTGAGCCGTTGAGGCGGCTCTCAAAACTGAAAGGGTGAGTCGTTTGTTTGCTACGATCCGATCAAGCCAATCCCCCGAAACTTCTCCCCTTCCCATCTTCGCATCTCACAAATGCATGTCACCCAAACCCTGCAATCATGCCTTTCCTTGCAGTGCCACCTTTTTCTGCATCCCATCCGCTCCCGTCCGTGTCCGCATGGTCGCTCCATCTGCTGCAGGGGCGGGTGGCGCTTGCAGAGCAGGGCAGTAGTCAAAGGGGCCCTGGGGGTCAAAGGGGCCCAGGGGGGCAGGCGGGCTGTCAGGTGACCCAAATCCGTCAGGTGACCCAAATCCGTCAGGTGACGGATTCTGGCCGCCAAGCGAGACATGTGCCTTGAGATTTGGACCGACTGACAATCGCTCGGAGGGTTGGGAGGGTTGCTCCGAAGCGTCAGCTGCATGTGCATCACCTCCCACAATGCTAGCAGCTACAGCCGGCAGCAAGCCATGGCTGAGAGACATGGATCGACACATTCCCCTCCTGCTCCTCCCCCCTGCTGACGTCACCATGCCACGTGGCAGGGTTCCTGTTCTTGCATGATCCTGGCTTCCAATGCTGTTGTGTCGCGCGCCCGACTCAGCGGCACCCAAGCTGTTGTATCGCACAGCCAACTCGTTACTGTCACCCTCCCGCATTGTTGTCACAACGCCGCTGCTGCTCCACCCCTTGAGGCGCCTCCCGCCCCCAACAGATGCTTCCAGGAAGCACCCAACTTTGGGGGGGTTGCTCTGAGCCAAAGTTGTTCGCTGCTGCTCCGACACCGGCCCTTGCCCCTGCGGCAACGGGTCTGCCGCAGGCCCGCCCACTGCCTGGCCAACGCCGATCTCAGAGCTCGGAGTGATTTCATCGCTCGTCTGTGGAAGCAACTCCCCCCGTCTTGCAGACGTGTTCCGTTTGACTTTGTATAATCTCTTCCATCATGCTTTGTCAATGCCTTTGGCTGCAGGGGAGGCTTGGAGGTGGAAGACAGCACTGGGGTGTGCTATCGAGCTTTCCCGCTTCTCTACGCGTACGTTACAGATCACCCCGAGTCTTGCAAAGTCACGTGCACAATGGCATGCAACTCCTTCCGGCCATGCTCCATATGCCTTGCTGAAAAGCCGAGGCTTGCGGAGGTGGAAGACCCGATTGTTTTGCGAACAGTGCGTGATCAAGGGCGCTTGTACAAGCAGATGGAGTCCGCCACCACCAAGAAGAAGCTGTCCGCATTGAGGACCACCTACTCGACGCACTTTGTCAAGGTACTACTGTTCCCTCCAGCCATAGCGGAATGCATACTTGTGAGCAACACATGGGCTGCTGAGTAGGGTTGGATGATTCGGACCCCCTGTTGCACGCGCTTATACCTCCTCCCCACCCGCAACTCTACTTGCCTGTTGTTTATGGCCTGCTTTTGGCATGCTCTCTCCCCATTCCCCAAACGTCTCCTTCCCTGCGCCCCAATATTTCAGAGTCTTCTGTGGGACTGGGAGTTCGCAAAAACGATTTGGGGGAACACGTATCTCGCCGTCACACCTGACATCATGCATATTATTGAGCAGGGTTTTTGGCTGCATGCAATGAAGTGTCTTGTGAAGAAGCTCACCCCGTCTGAACGGAAGATCCTTTTAGAGTAAGTGGGTCTCTCTGTCCATATCTCCCCTGCGACTTGGCGTGCCCGCCCAAACCCAACCCCCCTCCTCCCGTCCACCCTACGGCCCAAACTTCCCCCCCATCCATCCGGCCAGTCCTCTGTTCCCTCCCCACAACCCTCCCTTCGCTGTGCATTCACTTTCACCATATATTCCGTGACGACGTCTTCTAAACTTGGAGGTCAGCCACTGTGCACCAGATTTACCGATGCATGTCGGCCCCTGCTGTCCCTTTCCATCCCGTCCTACGTGTCAGGCGATACAAGTTGCTCAAGGCAATCACACCGGCGTCCCTTTTGCGCCTGCCCCAAGCCTGGGTGTACTTCACAACCACAGCGAATTTTTCAGCATCTGAGCACCGTGCCATGATGCAGATCTTGCCACTCATCATCGACCTTCCCGAAAGGGTTCACATTCGTCGCGCCATCGTCCGCATCGCGGACTGGTACAAGGAGTTCATCCGTGCAGAGTATCACACTGATGCATCCCTCATCCGCATGGAGACAGCGACTGTCGTGTAAGGCCATAAGGTTGTTCAGACCCTTGAATGAAACTCTGCTTTGCATCAAACTCCAGACTAGTCCCGGGATATCTCTGATCCTTTGCTCCTTCCCCTATGCCTCCCCCCCAACACCCCTCCCCCCACATCAGCATGGTAAAGGCGCTCGTGAAGGCCTTCCCTAACCAGAAGTCCAAGTGGCACATTGTGAAGATCCATCTCCTCGTTCACCTGCCTGCCACCATCCGAGCGCGTGGCCTGCCACAGGAGTACTCATCCAACACGTACGAGCACTCTCACAAGACGACTGTCAAGCGCCCCGCCCGTGGAACGAACTGGAAGAACGTCGGGGACCGCATTGTCAAGAAGCATGTGCAGCATGCTGTGGTTCGCCAGCTGTCTCGCGAGGTTGGCGGTGACAAGACTTACGAGACCGCAATGAAGGAGGTGCGACTACTATTCAAAATCTTGCCTTTTCCTCAGCTCTGCCTTCCCCCCAGCTCTGCATTCCTCCCGGGCTCTGCATTCCCCCCAGCTGTGCTTTCCCTCGGCTGCAGATTACTCCCCAGCTCTGCATTCCCCTCAGCTCTGCATTCCCCTCAGCTCTGCATTCCCCTCAGCTCTGCATTCCCCTCAGCTCTGCATTTCCCTCACCTCTGCATTTCCCTCAGCACTGCATTCCCCGCAACCCTGCATTCCCCAAGCTCTGCCATTCCCTCAACCCCTGCATCCCCCCCAGCTTTTCCTTTCTCTCAGATCTGCATTTCCGCCAGACCTGCATTCCCCCCATCTCTGCATGTCCCCCACCCATCCCTGCATGTCCCTCGGCTCTGGATTGCCCCAGTGATCTGGATTTCCCTCAGCTGTGTATTACCCCCAGCTCCTCATTTCCCTCAGCTCTGCCTTTCCCTGAGCTCTGGATTTCCATCTCCTCTGCATTCCCCCCAGCTCTGCATTCCCCCCAGCTCTGCATTCCCCCCAGCTCTGGATTTCCCTCGGCTATGCATTCCCCCCACCTCTTCATTTCCCTTGGCTCTGCATTTCCCTCGGCTCTGCATTTCCCTCGGCTCTGTATTTCCCTCAGCTCTGCATTTCCCCCAGCCCTGCATTCCCCCCAGCTGTGCCCTTCCCTCAGCTCTACATTTCCCCAACCCTGCATTCCCCCCAGCTCTGCCTTTCCCTCGGCTCTGCATTTCCCCCAACCCTGCATTCCCCCCAGCTCTGCCATTTTCCCAACACTGCATTTCTCTCAGCTATGCATTTCCCTCGGCTGTAGATTACTCCCCAGCTCTGCATTCCCCTCACCTCTGCATTTCCCTCACCTCATTTCCCTCAGCACTGCACTCCCCGCAACCCTGCATTCCCCCAGCTCAGCCATTCCCTCAACCCCTGCATCCCCCCCAGCTATTCCTTTCTCTCAGATCTGCATTTCCGCCAGACCTGCATTCCCCCCATCTCTGCATGTCCCCCACCCATCCCTGCATGTCCCTCGGCTCTGGATTGCCCCAGTGATCTGGATTTCCCTCAGCTGTGTATTACCCCCAGCTCCTCATTTCCCTCAGCTCTGCCTTTCCCTGAGCTCTGGATTTCCATCGGCTCTGCATTCCCCCCAGCTCTGCATTCCCCCCAGCTCTGCATTCCCCCCAGCTCTGCATTCCCCCCAGCTCTGGATTTCCCTCGGCTATGCATTCCCCCCACCTCTTCATTTCCCTTGGCTCTGCATTCCCTCGGCTCTGCATTTCCCTCGGCTCTGCATTTCCCTCAGCTCTGCATTTCCCCCAGCCCTGCATTCCCCCCAGCTGTGCCCTTCCCTCAGCTCTACATTTCCCCAACCCTGCATTCCCCCCAGCTCTGCCTTTCCCTCGGCTCTGCATTTCCCCCAACCCTGCATTCCCCCCAGCTCTGCCATTTTCTCAGCACTGCATTTCTCTCAGCTATGCATTTCCCTCGGCTGTAGATTACTCCCCAGCTCTGCATTCCCCTCACCTCTGCATTTCCCTCACCTCATTTCCCTCAGCACTGCATTCCCCGCAACCCTGCATTCCCCCAGCTTAGCCATTCCCTCAACCCCTGCATCCCCCCCAGCTTTTCCTTTCTCTCAGATCTGCATTTCCGCCAGACCTGCATTCACCCCATCTCTGCATTTCCCCCAACCCTGCATTCCCCCCAGCACTGTCTTTCCCTCAGCTCTGCATTTCCCCCACCCCTGCATTTCCCTCACGGCTGGAATTCCATCAGCTCTGCATTCCCCCCAGCTCTGGATTTCCCTCGGCTATGCATTCCCCCCACCTCTTCATTTCCCTTGGCTCTGCATTTCCCTCGGCTCTGCATTTCCCTCGGCTCTGCATTTCCCTCAGCTCTGCATTTCCCCCAGCCCTGCATTCCCCCCAGCTGTGCCCTTCCCTCAGCTCTACATTTCCCCAACCCTGCATTCCCCCCAGCTCTGCCTTTCCCTCGGCTCTGCATTTCCCCCAACCCTGCATTCCCCCCAGCTCTGCCATTTTCCCAACACTGCATTTCTCTCAGCTATGCATTTCCCTCGGCTGTAGATTACTCCCCAGCTCTGCATTCCCCTCACCTCTGCATTTCCCTCACCTCATTTCCCTCAGCACTGCATTCCCCGCAACCCTGCATTCCCCCAGCTCAGCCATTCCCTCAACCCCTGCATCCCCCCCAGCTATTCCTTTCTCTCAGATCTGCATTTCCGCCAGACCTGCATTCCCCCCATCTCTGCATGTCCCCCACCCATCCCTGCATGTCCCTCGGCTCTGGATTGCCCCAGTGATCTGGATTTCCCTCAGCTGTGTATTACCCCCAGCTCCTCATTTCCCTCAGCTCTGCCTTTCCCTGAGCTCTGGATTTCCATCGGCTCTGCATTCCCCCCAGCTCTGCATTCCCCCCAGCTCTGCATTCCCCCCAGCTCTGCATTCCCCCCAGCTCTGGATTTCCCTCGGCTATGCATTCCCCCCACCTCTTCATTTCCCTTGGCTCTGCATTTCCCTCGGCTCTGCATTTCCCTCGGCTCTGCATTTCCCTCGGCTCTGCATTTCCCCCAGCCCTGCATTCCCCCCAGCTGTGCCCTTCCCTCAGCTCTACATTTCCCCAACCCTGCATTCCCCCCAGCTCTGCCTTTCCCTCGGCTCTGCATTTCCCCCAACCCTGCATTCCCCCCAGCTCTGCCATTTTCCCAACACTGCATTTCTCTCAGCTATGCATTTCCCTCGGCTGTAGATTACTCCCCAGCTCTGCATTCCCCTCACCTCTGCATTTCCCTCACCTCATTTCCCTCAGCACTGCATTCCCCGCAACCCTGCATTCCCCCAGCTTAGCCATTCCCTCAACCCCTGCATCCCCCCCAGCTTTTCCTTTCTCTCAGATCTGCATTTCCGCCAGACCTGCATTCCCCCCATCTCTGCATTTCCCCCAACCCTGCATTCCCCCCAGCACTGTCTTTCCCTCAGCTCTGCATTTCCCCCACCCCTGCATTTCCCTCACGGCTGGAATTCCATCAGCTCTGCATTCCCCCCGGTTCTGCTTTTCCCTCAGCCCTGCGTTTCCCTCATCTATGCATTTCCCCCAGCTCTGCATAACCCTCTGCTCTGCATTTCCCTCGGCTCTGGAATTCCCTCGGCTCTGGATTTCGCACAACTCTGAACTTCCCTCAATTATGCTTTCCCGCCAACTATGCATAACGCTCAGCCCCGCATTTCCGCCAGACCTGCATTCCCCCCATCTCTGAATGTCCCCCTCCCAGCCCTGCATGTCCCTCAGCTCTGGATTGCCCCAGTGATCTGGACTTCCCTCAGCTGTGTATTACCCCCAGCTCCTCATTTCTCTCAGCTGTGCCTTTCCCTGAGCTCTGGATTTCCATCAGCTCTGCATTTCCCCCAGCCCTGCATTCCCCCCATCTCTGCATGGCCCCCACCCAGCTCTGGATTGCCCCTTTGCTCTGGATTTACCTCTGCTATGCATTCCCCCCACCTCGGCTCTGGATTCCCCTCTGCTCTGGATATCCATCAACTCAGGATTTCCCCTAGCCCTGCATTCCCCCCCCAACTGTACATTCCCCCCTGCTCTGCATTTTCCTCAGCCCTGCACACCCGTCAGCTCTCCATGTCCACCTCCGAGCCCTGCATGTTCCTCACCTCTGGATTTCCTCTGATTTGCATTTTCCCGAGCTCTGCATTTCCCTCAACTCTGCATAACCCTCAGCTCAGCATAACCGTCAGCTCAGCATTTCCCTCAGCTCTGGATACCCCTCAGCTCTGGATTTTCCTTCGCTACGCATCCCTAGCTCTGCTTTTCCCCCAGGTGTGCTTTTCCCTCCGCTCTGCATAAAACCTAACTCTACATTTGATTTCAGCCCTGCAGCTCTCATCCACGGCCCTCTGTCCCCCTTTCCACCCCGTTATCCCCTTCTGTCATAACCCCAGGCGTGCACCGTGGGCCGTAGGGTGCTGACCAAGACGCACAAGAGGATGGTGGTGGGGGATAGCACGGATCCAATGTGGAGGAGCTACGTCGCGGTCCTGGGGAAACCTGCGATGGACGAAATGGCGTCCCACCTCAAGCTGGCGGGCGTGAAGACCCAGGTCCTTCAGGTACGAAGTTGCCTTGAGCAGCCCTGTCAAACTATCCCCTGTGAATGTCCTTGAATGATTCTGATGGCAACTTGTGCCTTTGTAAACCATCAACTGCCCAATACCCATGCCCTCAGAAGCTCATTACTGTAAAATTCCACCATTGGCCCATGTCCCTTCCCATGCGGCGTTCCAGGTGCACACCGCACTTGCCATCCCTCCACACGACAGGATGGAATGGACAGCCAAGGGCCAATTTGTCAAAGCGAGCCCGTCACAGCGGAACTTCTCTGACGTGGCCATAAACCCGGCGGGGAAGGGGGCCAACTGGTACGGCCGCTGTCTGGTTCTGTTCCACTACGACAAAGACGGGGCAACGAAGCAGGCTGCCTACATTGAGTACTACACAGAGGACAGGCAGGTGTGCCACGTCACTGGATGCCGACGCCTCCTGCCAACGAGGGGTGTCGACAACTATGCGATCATGGATGCAGATTGCATCCTGAGCCTTGTTCATGTTGTCCCGTGCTGCAAGGATCCTGATGTGCGCTTGCTGAACAGATTTGTGTGGTGAATTGCCAAGTGGAATAGTTCTAGTTGCTTGCAGCAAGCAACTTTAGGGCGACCTCATGACAACAAACTTATATTAAAATCATGACTGCTAGATTATGCCTTCAAATTGATGCATGATGAAATTTCACATCATCCCGCTTCACACTGATGCCTTCAAATTGATGCATGAAATTTCATGTCAACAAACTTATATTAAAATCATGACTGCTAGATTATGCATTTATTTCACATTCACCCAAATATCTACCGCTGACACTGATATTGTATAACACTAAAGAGTATTCACCTACATATCCAACTCTGCGGGAAAATCAGAAAAACAAATAGAATTGAACCAATTTCTCCTCATTGCAGGGATTAAACCCGACTCTTCAACGATCAACTCTACCCAAGACTGCCGTACTACCAAACCACTCGTGCCTGTACTATATCACAACATTTATTTTATAAATAAATTCCATTTGCTAATCATTTGAAGCCATCGACTTGGGAAACAGATGAATCTCGAATAGTTCAAAGAGGGTTAACAGACGATAGCGCCTAGCTCGGAACGTCAGATGATATTCAAATGCACATATTTTTGTGATGGGATGGCATGGGTGGATGGCATGGGTGGATGGCATGGGTAAATGGCATGGGTGGATGGCATGGGTGGATGGCATGGGTGGATGGCATGGGTGGATGGCATGGGTGGATGGCATGGGTGAATGGCATTGGGGGATTGCCCTGGGCGAATGGCAGTGCAAGTGTTGGAGAGTCTGGCATCTGAGTGGGCCGATTTCGATGGCCTGGAGACTTGGAGCAGAGGCAGGGACTGCGAGAGCATGGCTCTTGTGCGCTGTGATGGCGACGGGCATGTCATTGCACTGTAAGCATGCCATTGCACTGTAAGCATGCCATTGCACTGTAAGCATGCCATTGCACTGTAAGCATGCCATTGCACTGTAGGCATGCCATTGCACTGTAGGCATGCCATTGCACTGTAGGCATGCCATTGCACTGGAGGCATGTCATTGCACTGTAGGCATGCCATTGCACTGTAGGCATGCCATTGCACTGTAGGCATGTCATTGCACTGTAGGCATGCCCACTCATCCATCCATTTTGTCCCTCCCTTGTTCCATTGCTCTTCCTCTTTGCCCTCCCAGCAATGCAAGTAGAACCGAGCGATACATTTTGAACACCATGGGCCCCGACTACATTGACGAATCTGGCCCCCCCTTCCCAGTGACCATCACGGCCTTGAAGCACCTCACCCTGCTGTGAGTGGCATGGCATGGCATGGCATCATCAGCCCATTCTGTTCCATGCTGAATCTCCACTGGTCTCCCTTACCCTCCTCCCTTCACGGCTTCGCCCCCCTCTTCAGTTCCGTTCACCCCCTGGGCACTACTGTTGAAGTGGAGCCGGCTTCATATGTTGCTCAAGCTAGGCCCTAGCTGCTGCGCTGCAAGCTTAGCTGCTGCGCTGCAAGCCTAGCTGCTGCGCTGCAAGCTTAACTGCTGCGCTGCAAGCTTAGCTGCTGCGCTGCAAGCTTAGCTGCTGCGCTGCAAGCTTAGCTGCTGCGCTGCAAGCTTAGCTGCTGCGCTGCAAGCTTAGCTGCTGCGCTGCAAGCTTAGCTGCTGCGCTGCAAGCTTAGCTGCTGCGCTGCAAGCTTAGCTGCTGCGCTGCAAGCTTAGCTGCTGCGCTGCAAGCTTAGCTGCTGCGCTGCAAGCTTAGCTGCTGCGCTGCAAGCTGAACTGCTGCGTTGCAAGCTTAGCTGCTGCGCTGCAAGCTTAACTGCTGCGCTGCAAGCTTAGCTGCTGCGCTGCAACCTTAACTGCTGCGCTGCAAGCTAGTCCCCTAGCCCTTGAACAACTCCCTTGGATCCGTCTGCCTGTTCCCCTCCCTCCCCGCAGCTCCATCAACTCTAGTTACTTCACCGGCCCCCTGCCCTCTGCTCTCTTCGCCATGCCCAATCTCAAGCACCTGTGAGACTCCTGCTCATGCTGTCTCTTAGCTCCCCCTCCACACACTCTCCGGTTCCCCTTTAGTTCGAATCACCTTCTTGTGGAGCACGTCTTTCCGTCCTAAGCCCTTAGCGCGCCCACCACTTGCACAGTGGAGCTGTCGTTTCGTGCCTTGTGCTGTGCCACGTGTCAGGCCGCGTGGTTTGCCCTGTCGTGTCGGGTCTTGCCTTGCCTGCAGTGCGCTCACTATCAACAAGTTCTCAGGCAGCATACCCGGTGCAGTAGGGCTTGCAAAAGGCCTCCAAACGCTGTCAGTCCATGCAAGCATGCATGCATGCATGCATCCATCCATCCATCCATCCATCCATCCATCCATCCATCCATCCATCCATCCATCCATCCATCCATCCATCCATCTGTCTCGTCTACTTCCTGCTTTTACCCGTGCTTCTTCTGGGTTCTGACTTTCCTTTCTACTGGGTTCTGACTTTCCTTTCTACTGGATTCTGACTTTCCTTTTCTTCTGGGTTCAGGGTTGTGGAACTTTCCCCTCACATTGTCCCGCCCTTGTGCCTCCCTCCCTCCCATCCCATGTCCATGTGTGTGCGGTTGTCTGCAGTGAGTTGTGGAGCAACGATCTCGATGGCTCCATCTCGACTTCCCTGGGCAACCTCTCGTCTCTTGTGCACCTGTCAGTTCACTCGTGCACCTCTCAGTTCACTCGTGCACCTCTCAGTTCACTCGTGCACCTCTCAGTTCACTCGTGCACCTCTCAGTTCACTCGTGCACCTCTCAGTTCACTCGTGCACCTCTCAGTTCACTCGTGCACCTCTCAGTTCACTCGTGCACCTCTCAGTTCACTCGTGCACCTCTCAGTTCACTCGTGCACTCTCAGTTCACTCGTGCACCTCTCAGTTCACTCGTGCACCTCTCAGTTCACTCGTGCACCTCTCAGTTCACTCGTGCACCTCTCAGTTCACTCGTGCACCTCTCAGTTCACTCGTGCACCTCTCAGTTCACTCGTGCACCTCTCAGTTCACTCGTGCACCTCTCAGTTCTCTCGTGCACCTCTCAGTTCACTCGTGCACCTCTCAGTTCACTCGTGCACCTCTCAGTTCACTCGTGCACCTCTCAGTTCACTCGTGCACCTCTCAGTTCACTCGTGCACCTCTCAGTTCACTCGTGCACCTCTCAGTTCACTCGTGCACCTCTCAGTTCACTCGTGCACCTCTCAGTTCTCTCGTGCACCTCTCAGTTCACTCGTGCACCTCTCAGTTCACTCGTGTACCTCTCAGTTCTCTCGTGCACCTCTTAGTTCACTCGTGCGTCTCTCAGTTCTCTCGTGCACCTCTCAGATCCACAACAGCAGCAGCAGCCGTTTCTTTTAACCTGACCTCTCAGGCTGGCTCGCGTTTCAGTCCATTCAGCAGCTCTTCCCACCAAGCCGTGTGAACTTCACTGAGCCACCTTGTGCTCTAAGGCACTCCCTGCCCCTCCTCCCCCCCCCCCAACCGCCCACATCCCACCTTCCCCCCAGTATGCGCCTCCCATTCGGATCTTTCAACCCACATTGGCCTTCCCTTGTGCCTCACCCCTGTTTCCATCTCAATGTGGTGTTGATACGCCAAGTTGGGCTGGGTGCCCTTTTCTCTCTGAGGCACTCGCCACACTGCCAATCCACAAGCTTCGCTTCCCCTCCTCTTCTTGCTCCCTCTGCCCCTCCCTTGCATTCAGAAATTTCACCCCATATTGGCCCTCCCTTGTGCCTGTCACCCCTGTTTCCATCCATTACCTAACTTTCTTCTGCCTTTCACCCATATTCGTCTCTGCTGCCTCCCTTCCTTTTATCCGTCTACTGCGTGCGTGCAGTAATCTGGCGTATAACAAACTCTCGGGTCCTCTCCCTGACTCTGTGGGCGACCTCTCTTCTCTTATGCACCTGTCAGTTCTCCCATGCATGCCCCTCTCACTTCTTGCGCCACCTGCCCCTCCTCTCCTCTTCCTCACGCGCCCCTCTTTTCGCTCCCTCATCTACTTCCCCCAATGTGCTCTATTCTTCCCCTTTTTTTCCTCCATATCTGCGTCACCCCACTCTGTGCTTCACATCTCAACCGGCTTGTGCAAGCCGGCCACAACGGCCACAACGGCCACAACGGCCACAACGGCCACAACGGCCACAACGGCCACAACGGCCGCACATTCTCCTTCCACTGCAGCGCACTGCCATGCCTGCACTGCATCTCTGCAGTTCCTTCATCCCACCCTCCCTTCCCCCCTCTCCACTGCTTTCCTTGGATTTCTCACCTCCCTCCCTTCACCCTCCCCCCTTCCCCCCTCCCTGCCTGCCATCGCCCCAACGGTGCATCAGGTCATTAACTCACAATCGCCTCAACGACTTCATTCCTGCGGAGTTGGGCAATCTGCATCAACTCACTTACCTGTGAGCGCACTTGCAGGGAGAGAGGGGTTTCTGTGGGGATGGGGTGAGAGGGTCCGACAGTGAATGAGCAAGGTGAGAGAGCGAGAAAGTAAATGAGTGGTGAGAGAGGGAGAGAGAGTGAGAAAGTGAATGAGCAAGATGAGATGATGAGGTGGTAAGAATGCCAGACGGCTGTACTCAGACTGATGTTTGGCTCTGTCAGATGCCACTCCACTCGTAGACCCCCCTCCCTCGAGCTGACCCCACTGCCATCATAGACGACCTGCACTGTTCCATGACGTGACTTTTGAGTTTCAGTCGACTCAAAAGTCTACCTCCGAGTGGAAGCCGCGTGATGAGTCTAGTTTTGAGGCGCCTCAAAACTACACTGCCATCAGAGAGGAGCTCCATTGTTCAGTGAGGTGAGTTTTGAGTTTTGAGTCGACTCAAAAGTCTACCTCCGACTGGAAGCCCACTGCCATCAAGCAGGAGTTCCGTGATGAGACTCTGTTTCCTCGCACCTGCACTGTCTGCTGCACCCACCCCCCCAACCTGGATTCCCACTACAACTGCCTTCCCACCTGCAACACCTACCTGCCAGTGGTGCAAAATCCTGTTCATGCATGGTGCATGCATGCGTGGGGCATGCATGGTGTGTGTGTGTGTGTGTGTGTGTGTGTGCATGTGTGTGTGTGTGTGTGTGTGTGTGCGTGTGTGTGTGTGTGTGCGTGTGTGTGTGTGTGTGCGTGTGTGTGCGTGCGTGTGTGTATTGTGCCTTGGTGGTGCGTGCAGGGATTTGCAGTACAACCATTTCGTCGGCTCGCTACCAGACAAGTTATCTCAGCTGCAGAAGCTGCAGGATTTGTAAGGGTCGTGAAGGGCGTGGGGAGGGCGTGTGGAGGGTGTGTGAAGGGCGTGTGAGGGGCGTGTGCAGGGCGTGAGGAGGGCATGTGAAGGGCATGTGAAGGGCGTGTGAAGGGCGTGGGGAGGGCGTGTGGAGGGTGTGTGAAGGGCGTGTGAGGGGCGTGTGCAGGGCGTGAGGAGGGCATGTGAAGGGCGTGGGGAGGGCGTGAAGTGATGCACTACTGTCCATGAAAGGAGTAATCCTCAGGCTCTCTCCGCTCCGTGTTCTCCTCTCACTTGCTTGCACTCTTGAGGCTTACCCTCTCCGCAATGTCTCATTTGACGTCGTCGTCGTCGTCGTCGTCGTCGTCGTCGTCGTCGTCGTCGTCGTCGTCGTCGTCGTCATCATCATCATCATCATCATGATCATCATGGTCATCATCATGATCATCATGGTCATCATGGTCATCGTGGGAAATGTTGCATGAGCGGTTGGTGGTACGAGGCTACGAGCGCTGCTGATGCATGCAAGGACGGCATCCCCACGATCTCTCCCACAACTAACCCCTGTTTTGTCATCGGCTTTTCCTCGCACCCACTGCTCTCCCCTCCCCCCAAGGCAGCTTAAGAAATAAAAGTTCCTTCTTGTCTTCCCCGTTACTGTGCTCCTATCCACCCTCCCTCCCCCTCTCTTATCCACTCTCCCACCCCACTCCATCAACCCTTTACTCTTTCCATTTTTAACCGGTGACCCTGTACAGCACGGCACTGCACTGCATCATACTTATACTGTACCGCACTCCACCGCACTGCACCGCTCATCATCGCAGGTACCTTGACTGCGAGCTTACAGGCCCCATCCCCGAGTCAATGGGAGCCCTCACCAACCTGGAGGAATTGTAAGGCAGAGTGAGGCAGGCTGGGGTGGGGCCTTGTAACCTTGTTCAGCTTCCAGTGTGCTGGAGCCTGGATCCGAGGGAACCGCTGATCTACCTTGCACTTGCAGCTGTCGTCGGTGGGTTCGATTCAAGCCGCACATCTGGTGCATCCGTCCGAGTTCAGAGTGTTGGCTGATGTCGCAACACACCAACAGACTCCAACGATATCCAAGCCACGTGGCTTGAGTAGTGCTTTGACCAGGGCTTGTTTGTTGTCTCCTGCGCAACACACCATGTGTCGTCTTCTGCACCATGTGTTGTGTGCTGCGCCTCTGGGCCGTCTGTTGTGCCTTCGAGACCTTGCATGTGCATTGAGACCTTTTTTTTGTGTGCTGAATTGGTTTTTGAAATTTCTCAAAAACCCTTTCATGTGCATGAAGAACCGTTTTATTGTGTGTGTTTCGGACTTCCCTTGTGGCTGTGACATATTGTGCCTATGTAGCATCATACTGCTCATGTCCCATCCACCCCTCCACTCCCCTGCTTCATCGACCCTTCTACGTTGCACTCAACGACGCCACATCACATCACACTGCACCGCACTCCATGGCAGGAACCTCATCTTCCAACAGCTTTCAGGGCCCATCCCCGAGTCAATCGGAGCCCTCACCAACCTGGAGATACTGTACGGCACGGATTGCATGTTGGATTGGCACCGCAGGGTTTAGCGGCGCGCACCGCAGGGAGGCACGGCGCGCACCGCAGGGAGGCATGGCCCGCACAGTGTTGAATTTTTAGCTTCAAGTGTGTTGGATTGTAACAGCCAGATGACCCACAGTGTGCCTACAGTGTGCCCATAGCGCGCCCACAGTGTGCCCACAGTGTGTCCTGGCCCACTAGGCTCTGATCAGATTCATGGAAACACACAAGGCGACCCGCATGCAGGACAGCATGGAGCATCAGTCAAACACATCTTTTCTGGCACCATCACATGCCAACCCATCCCACGTCATCACATGCCCCATCCCACGTCATCACATGCCCCATCCCACGTCATCACGTGCCATCCCATCCCACGGCAGGCGGCTGGAGGGGAACAGGCTGAGTGGCACCATTCCCGCCTCCATTGGCAACCTCACCCGACTCATGTACCTGTGCGCCCATTTTCCCAAGATCCTCCTTCCTCCTCTCTCCCTCCTCCCTGCTCTCAAACCTCCGCCCTCCTCTCTCCCTCCGCCCTGCTTTCCCTCCACCCTGCCCTCTCTCTTTGTCTTTCTTTGTCCATCTAGGGTAAATCATGCCCTCTCTCCTTTCTTTGTCTTTCTTTCGAGTGGATAGGTGTGGCCTGCCTGGAGTCCACCTTCCACTCCAAGCACGTGCTTCTGCTGGTGTGGGTGTGCACTGCTCAAAGCACGTGCTTCTGCTGTTGCAGTGAGCGCTGCTCAGAGCACACCGTTCAATGAGCATTGTCACACGACCCACGCACCCTCCTTGCTCTCTTCTCCTCCCCATGCCCATCCGCCCCTCTCCAGAGACCTCTCCTCCAACGTCCTTGCTGGGACGATACCTGCCGCAATCAGGGCTCTCGTTGAACTCATATCTCTGTCAGTGATAGCCTATGAGAAGTTTTTTTAATCTTTTCCTCCCATCCTTGACTCGAATCACGACAACACATCCATTCTTTGGTATTCCTAAGCGCCCTCTGCAGGCCAATCTGTCATTGCCATTCGTCTCTGTCTTCTCTTCCCTAGGTAGTGATGGAAGTAGGAATGGATAGAAGCTTAGGTAGGAGGCTTAGCCGTGCTCAGGCAAGCCTATTCTACCTGAGGAGCCATCCCGATAATACCTCACACATGCTACTTCCATCCATTTGCTCCTCATTTCCGTCACTCCCCTTTTTCCTCGCTCGCTCCTCCTTCGTTCCGCTCACACCTTCCCGTCACGCCCTCCGTGCCTTCACTTCTATTCCCCTCTCCCCGTGCACTCCGGTCGCAGCCGTATTGACAACAACCAGCTTGTGGGCGAGCTGCCCTCCCTCCACCACATGCAGCAGTTGCAGGAGGTGAAAGCGGACCACAACTACCTCACAGGCACAGCAGGCCTGCTGCCTGAGTGCCCGTCCTACCACGAATTCTGCTTTGAGGATTATACAGGATGCCCCGCCTTGTACTCCATGCGCCGCAACTGCCTTCCCGGCATTCTCACCTCGTGCGACTCTAAGGACGCACAGAGGAATGCCAGCGAGTGCCGGTCATTCTGTGGGGTCAAGGCCCACCCCCTGACCCCGCCTTGCAGTGGCCATGGCGTGTGCTCCTTGGTGCCCGTCCCCACTCAACGCCACTCTTATTGTGACGAAGAGAACATGCCATTATTCTGCGATAAGGATGGTCCTTACCAAGGGGAGGCGCAGTGCATGTGTGATGAGGGGTACATGAGGGGTTCTGCTGCTGGCACTTGCGTCCCTCAAGGTGTGTACGGCAGCAGACCAATGCTCTTGCTAGCTACTGTTTATCTCTTCTCGTCGCTGAGCTCTCACTAGTTGCTCTTCTTGCCATCCTAGCAGCGGCTCACACACCCTTCTAATCGGCTCAAAGGCCACCTGTGTGCTTTGCATGCAGGCTCGTTTGCACGTCCGTGTGTGCGACGTGCGTGCGTATGTGTGTGTGCGTGTCTGGATACACCCTCCCTTCACATGCTTCTATACTTTCCATTGCCGTTTTGTGTACACATACTCTTCCCCCTCTCTCCTTATCCACCTTGCCATCACCTATCCCCTCTAAACACAGATTTTTCCAAACCACCCAGCGAACCACCAGCTTCTGAACTTTTGCCGACGGCAAATTCTGCTTCTCAGGAGCCTCAAAGCCTGCTGCTACTGCTGCTGCCACTAGCACTGCTGCTAACCCTGGCACTGGCACTCTTTCTGAGGCGTGTTAGGAGGAACCGCCCCCCTATGCGGTATTTCTTTTCAAAGAAAGCCCTCGCTGCCCACCAAGCAGCTAGCGGTGTGTAGAGGGCACTTGCTTCTGCATGGGTGATAGATATTTGCCCCGGGAACAGGGAGCCAATCTGGGTCTTCCTCAGATTCCATGATTGGTCGTATCTGGGCGTTGGGGCTCGTTTTATTCCTCAGCATCTACCAGCTTGTGGGAGAAGAGTTGAAAAGGTTGATGGCATAAGGTGGACAGGACAGTGAAGTTGACTGTCCATGGCAGACAACGGTATTCTTGAGAATTCTCAATGCGTAGTCCACTGTCTAAGCCTCCGTTCATTTAAAGCGAGAGGTTATAATAGTGACCCATCTTTCTAGTTGGGCCCAACTTGATTGGGACCCTCGAACAGATATAGGGGGGATAAGCGAGCGGGCAGAAGAAAACGTCGTTTCGGGGCGGGCAGTCATTCAGCAGCAAAAGCACCTGCCCGAGTGACAAATTCGGATATGTGGACAGGGTTCTGTTTGTACCCATAAGACTAGCTAGCACGCCTAGTTGGGGCTTGTTTGTTACCGTATTTTTTCGACCTCGATTGGTTGCGGTTCAGTCAAACTCAAAAGGGTGGACACGCAATGGGAAAAGTGTGGTTGGCGGGTAGTAGAAGTAAACACGCCTTGATTTGGTAGCTCTAGGTGGGGAGAAATCTCGACCAATCAGAAAACCAGTTGTGTTCTTGCATGAGTAGTGAACCCGGGTCCAACTTGAAAATCAAGTTGGGTCCACTTGGAGAATGACGAGGCAATGAGGTCGCACAAGTACCTGCGACCTGTGACAGCTCGCTAACCCTGTCCTACAAATTTCCCAGCCAATCGTGTGCTCGCGCTTGTTCGCTCTGAACAGCGCAGCTGCGTTATGGAACTGCCCTGGTTCTGCCGAGTAAGGCTAACAACCCCTTAGAAAAAATTGAGGGTCCCTTGGTTTCAAGTTGGACCCGCCTTCACTATTTTAGCCCCTCGCTTTAATGGTTACCCATAAGGTGGTTGGACATAGGTGTTCGAATGTTGAAATGGCTAGAATGGGTGAGTACAAGGGAATATAACCTAGTGGGTTGTACTCTCTAAGGCAAAACCCAATATAGTCTACAACAACATCCTAAAATATGTTTGACACACCCCCTAGACTGTATAGGAGCGGTGCCTGACGAGAGAACAAGCAGCTCAAGGTGGCACTACTAGTCCAGCCTTTGAGGCGAGGGTCTAAAGACCAGTCAAACGAGTACAGATCAAGGCAAGCGCAAGACCAGGGCGGCACTACTAGTCCAGCCACTGGGAGAGGCCACAAGGCCAGTCTGGGTAATATATATATATATATATATATATATAAAGGTCTATACACAATCAAGGCCCTAGCAAATGAGAGGCTACAGGAACAAGACCAAGCTGTACACAGTGCCGCTGATGATCTTTAGGCGCAAGCGCCTTCGTAAAGATATCAGCTGTGTTGGCACCGGAGGCCAAGTGTACTACGCGAGCCTAGCGACGCTGCTGTAGCTCGCGCAGGAGGAAGTTCCGCAGCTGGATGTGCTTCGCTCTGCCCTCAAGTCGAGGCTCCTGACACAGGAGGATCATGGCCCTGTTGTCAGCGTACAGGACCGGGGCAGAGCTAGGCCGCTCACCTAAGACAGTCAGCAGGAAGGTCAGCCAGCGGAGCTCCTGTGCCGCCATGGCACCGGCGTAGATCTCAGCCTCGCAGCTGGACTGGGCAACAGACGAGGAGCGGGTAGCTCTCCACGAAACAGCACCTGAACCAAGGCTAAAGCAGTAGCCCTGAGAGGACCTGAGAGTCTCTGCGTAGTCTGCCCAAGAAGCATCTGTGTGCCCAGTAAGGACCACTGGCCTGCGACCTCCCAGTACTAGCCCCATGCCCGATGTACTTGCTAGATAACGCAAAACCCTCTTAGCGGCAGACCAGTGGTGTGGTCGGTGTCTGCCTGTGGCCACAAAGCGAGCCAAGATGCTGAGAGGGTATGCGAGATCTGGGCGAGTGCAAGTCATCAGGTACATGAGGCAACTGACAAGCCCTGCGTAAGGACCACTTGGCTCTACTGAGTCCTCGGGAACAAGAGCTGAGAGCCTGTGGTCTCCTGGCAGAGGTGTAGGCTGCGCGAAGGAGAACTGAAGGCCAAACCTCTGAAGGACCTGGCGCACCAAGTGTGACTGTGAGAGTGTGATGGTGCGCGCTGCTCTGTCCCTGGAGATCTGTAGGCCAAGATAGCGGCGCAACTCTCCTAGGTCAGTGCAGGTGTGTCTCCTCAGCAGCTTGGCCTTCATGAAGGCCAGTGCATCTCTGTCTGCAGTTTCGAAGACCAGGTCGTCTACGTAGACAAGGATGTAGAACGGAGTCTAGCCAACACGAACGAAGAGCGACGGGTTTGCAGAGGATGGAAAGAACTGCAGGTCAGCTAGCGTAGCACGCAGCTTAACGTGCCACTCATAGGGTGCCTGTCGCAGGCCGTAGACCGGGCGTCGGAGGAGTCACTGGGTCCCAGGAGTGAAGGTACCGGTGAAGCCCTGTGGACGACGCAGGAAGACTTGCTCGTGTAGGCTGCCCAGAAGAAAAGCAGTGGAGAAGTCAAGGGAGTGGAGCTCGTAGTCACGTTGTGCTGCTACGTATAGCAGCGCCCGAAGAGTAGTCATCTTCGGGGTTGGGGCGAAGGTCTGAAAGAAGTTCACCCGTTTGAGCTGACTGAAGCCTCTAGCCACATACCCCGGAGGGTATGTGAAGAGCCTCCAGGAGGGCGCTTCACCTTGAAGAGCCAGCGGCCATCGACTACGTTCACCCCAGGTGGGGGAACTGCGTCGACGTAGGTGCTGGTGGATCTCCAAGTTGCCATCTCCTGCTCCATGGCAGCTATCCACTGAGAGGCCTAGGGTCCCGAT